GAAGGGAAGTCCTGGGGAATCGGGTCGAGATTCCCGGGCTGGACGAGAAGACTGCGACGTCAGAGGAGTCCGGCGAAGCCGCTGACGTTTCGTGTCCGCGGTCCGCGGGCCTCTACCGCCCAGGGGGGAGGGGCGAGGCGTCAACCTTGCGGTGTTCCTCGGAGGCGAGGCCCTGGTGTGGAGCGCCTCTCAGGTCTCGCTGGGGTCCTGGTTCACCTGGATGCCGGGAACCGATGGGGCAAGCGGCGTCCTCGTGTCGATGGCCAAGGACTCCTCGGTCGAGGTCGTGACGGACTTCGGCCGGAATTTCTGCAACTTGGTGGGGCCTTCGTTTAAGGATCGGAGGTCTCCGTCGCGGCCACCAGCTCCATCTTCCCCCCCTCCAAGCCCCAGACTCTTTGCCGCTCCGCGTGTGCCCACCAGCCCATCCAGAAGCGCTCCTCAGGCGAGTTGTCTTGAGCAGGGAAGTGCGGGAGCCTTCAGAGAAACAGAGAGGGGGGGGAGCCGTCAAGCCGAAGCCAGAGGTCAGCCGAGCTCGCGCTGAATGGTACCTCTGAGAGCCTCTTCCAGGTTTCCTGGGGCAATATTTGGGTTCTCCTGAGGCGTTCTTGAAGGCATTCGGTGCCATCTCGGGGCTCTGTTGGGACCCTCCCGGGGGCATTCGGAACCCCACGGCCGACCCAGGAGACCGTCGGTCAAACAAGGAGGAACAAAGCCTTTTCCGATGGGGAAGAAGGGGTGTGGAAGAGTTGGCCCGTCAAGCCACCTACACCCGCCACCTACGTCCAGATGGTTGGTTGAAGTTGCTCGCCTGAGGGCGAATGAGAAACCGCCAGGAACGTCGGAAGACGTCGATCCTCCCCCTCGGTCGATAGGCCCATCCTGATGGCAAGATCTTCCAGCTGCCAGTCCTAAGAAAAGTCAGACAAGGGTGGATGGGCACGGAGACAGAGGGGCGCAGTCGCGACTATCCCCACCTAAATGCATTAACCCCCTGTCCCGAAGAATGAAACTTCCCCATTCAGACCTGAAAGTGTATTATCCCGGGCCAAGACAGATTTGGCCCGTCTATTGTTGCCACCTTTCTTTTAATACGTCCGACTGCTTCTACGTCTGAGACTACTACTAGCACAAAGCCTTGCACTTCACTACGACTCCCAAGACATCTAAGCCCGAATCTTATTATTGCCAACTAGTGTTATTCGTACTACGACTGCGACTACCACTACTACGACCACAACCAGCACCACAAGTTGCCATTAGTATAACTAATAACTAGTACTACGGCTACTCCTACTACTACTACTACTACTACTACCACTACCACTACCACTACCACTACCACTACCACTACTACTACTACTACTACTACTACTACTACTACTACTACTACTACTCCTACTACTACTACTACTACGACTACTACTACTACTACTACTACTACTACTACTACTACTCCTACTACTACTACTACGACTACTACGACTACTACGACTACTACTACTACTACCTACTACTACTACTACTACTACTACTACTACTACTACTACTACTACTACTACTACTACTACTACAAGCCTCGTCAAAAATAATCAGAAACGCAGTTGGAAATCACGACGGTCGATCTTCTCGGGCACTTGTTAGAAACTGCGTTCTTCAATGCTGCGGAGGGGTCGTCGGATTTTTGAAGCCCTTGCGTCCACGTCAGATATCTAGCGTCAGCATTGGAGTAGCGCCGACAATACAATCACCGAAAACAGAATCCCTCAGTTTTTCCCAACCCTCCTGCGTTGGGTACTCGTTTTGAATAGAGCACTGCGGTCTCCACCTTCCTTCCTTCCCGCCTCCTCCTCCTCTCTTCCCTCTTCCTCTCCTCTCTTGCTTCCCTTCTCCGCCTCTCTTCGCTCCTCCTCTTCTCTTCTCTTCTCTTGCCTTTTACGTCATCCCTGGGGGGCTGCGATCTGCGGAACTGTCACCACTTTCGAGGGCTGCTGGTGGGTCCAGCGGAGTGAGGCACCACGGGGACTCAGATTAGACCTCGCCATCCCTGGGGGGGGGGGCTGCGATCTGTGAAACTGTCGCCACTTTCGAGGGCTGCTGGTGGGTCCAGCGGAGTGAGGCACCACGGGGACTCAGATTAGACCTCGCCATCTCTGGGGGGGGGCTGCGATCTGTGAAACTGTCACCACTTTCGAGGGCTGCTGGTGGGTCCAGCGGAGTGAGGCACCACGGGGACTCAGATTAGACCTCGCCATCTCTGGGGGGCTGCGATCTGTGAAACTGTCGCCACTTTCGAGGGCTGCTGGTGGGTCCAGCGGAGTGAGGCACCACGGGGACTCAGATTAGACCTCGCCATCTCTGGGGGGCTGCGATCTGTGAAACTGTCGCCACTTTCGAGGGTTGCTGGTGGGTCCAGCGGAGTGAGGCACCACGGGGACTCAGATTAGACCTCGCCATCCCTGTGCGAAACTGTCGCCACTTTCGAGGCTGCTGGTGGGTCCAGCGGAGTGAGGCACCACGGGGACTCAGATTAGACCTCGCCACCCCTGGGCGGCTGCGATCTGTGAAACTGTCGCCACTTTCGAGGGCTGCTGGTGGGTGGCCAGCGGAGTGAGGCACCACGGGGACTCAGATTCTGACCACGAGCAATGCTCGCGTGCCCGTGCTCTGCGGTTCGTGCCACGTGGCGCTGCGACTCGAGCTGGCGGTCGTCCTTCGGACCCGCAGAAACATCTGCTGAGCTCGATGAGCTAGGGGAACTACAGGAAAGAAGAGCAGGAAACGGAGGCCGGTCATGCACTCGCCGATACCTCGTTGCTCTGTCATCGTCTTTGCTGTTGCATGATCCTTATCTGGCCTGCCGGCGCCGCGGCTCGAGCTGGCGGTCGCCCTTCGGGCCCGCGGGAACATCTTCTGAGACAAGTGGACGCCGCCGCCTTACTTGCAGGCAGCGCATTGCATTCGCGGACAGCAGCATGGCAGACCGCAGTGAGATCCTCAGTCGCGTGGTGTTGCCAAGCCTGGTGGAGACGCGCGTGATCGACCTGAAGTCCCAATCGCGCGTGCACTGTACCTGCGTGGCGTTCAGGCACGCGCGTGATGCTGCTCGCTCCGCGTTCAACCAGTACGTCGCCAGTGCAACTTTGGACGATGGACAACCGATTGATGATACGCGACCCCGGCCTTGAGTTTCTTTCCCGCGGGCCGCCCGCAGACCTGGCGGCGCGCCTGCGAGCGTTCAGCTCCCGCGCTGAAATGTGCGGGAAGGAGGCGGAGAAGCTAGCGGGCGAGCTACGCCTCGCTCGTTCCTTGCACTCTAAACAAGTTCTATCATGTGGAACTCTGCGACGACATGGCGCAGGCAGCGCTGCGGGTTTAGCTCGCACTTGAAAAACGCGGCAGTCTTCTGTCTCCTCCCGCCACTTTCATCGTCGTCCTATTCCCCGCCTCACCTTCTCCATGCATGCTGCTGCTTCCGCGATGGCCTTTCGCCCCCCCCGCCCTCCATTCCATCCCTCTCCTACCCCTCGTTCCCGTGCCCGTTCTTCTTCGATCCTGGGGCCTCAAGCCTCGTTCTTTCGATCGTCGTCCTGTGAATCGTGCAGCGCATGCGCGTCCCATGTAGCTTGCACAGCAAATCGCCGCGTCTACACTGTCGTTGTTCCTGCTAATGTTGGCATACTCCTCTTGCCATTTGATGCACGTGGGTTGGGTACGTCGCAGGGTATTTTTTTGACGAGGGTTGTACTACTACTACTACTACTACTACTACTACTACTACTACTACTACTACTACTACTACTACGACTACTACTACTACTACTACTACTACTACCACCACTACTACTACTACTACTACTACTACTACTACTACTACTACTACTACTACCACTACTACTACTACTACTACTACTACTACTACTACTACTACTACTACTACTACTACTACTACTACTACGACTACTACTACGACTACTACGACTACTACTTACTCTACTACTACTACTATTACTACTACTACTACTACTACTTACTACTACTACTACTACTACTACGACTACTACGACTACTACTTACTACTTACTACTACTACTAACTACTACTACTCCTACTATATTACTACTACTACTACTATTACTACTACTACTACTACTACTACTACTAATACTACTACTACTACTACTACTACTTACTACTACTACTACTACTAC